CGCGCGCGGCCCGGGCCCCGGCCACCGGACGCCCTACTGAACACGACCCTCCTAGGAGCTTGGACAACTGCCCACCTCGGACACCGCACCGGACACTGCCCCCCACAGGGCTGGACACTACAACGGACACTACTTCCCAGCTCCGGACATTGCTCCCTCCTCCCCCTCGGGCCCTGGACGCTTCCCCCCCTCCCCCTCTGGGGGCCCAGACATTGAGCCCCCCGCAGGCTCTAGCTAGCGACCCCTTGCACCCCAGCGCCAGACACCGCCTCCTCCCAGTCCCCTTCTCTCTTCCCCTCCTCCCGCCTCATCTCTCCCCTGCTCGGGTCGGAGCTCCGCCAGTTTCTCTGACCCCCTGCAGCTCGGCCCCGGCTGCCCGCGCCCCCATCCCCCGGCTGCTCGCCCGGATGCCTCTCCCCGGGGGATTGTGGTGGCTCCTCTGCTGCCGTCGAGGCTTTACTCTTCTGCACCGGGACTACGGGGACGGCGAGCTTAGCGGGGACGGGGACGAAGACGAGGACGAGGAGACCTTTGAGCTACGGACCCCGAGTCCAGCGGGCGGCGGGAGGGTAAGTCCCGGGGGGTTTGGAGCCTTGTCTCAATCCCTCTCACTAAAACCGGCCGTCATGCCTGAGCCTGCTCCAGACTCCAGCCAAAGCCGTGCTCTTTCGGACAGGGTACTCGGGAGAGGTTTTTGCCTGGGGGCCAGAAGCCCCCAGAGCTTAAGCAGCAGCTCGCCTCGGGATGTGCCTGTGGGCCTCGCGCTGCACGCTGGGCGCTGTCCACCTGCTGGGGGCCCTGAGGCAGGGGAGGCGTCACGCCTGGCCCGACCTGGCCCTGCCTCTCCCTTCCCCGCCGGGCCCGCGTCCCATCCCGTCTTCTTCCGCCTCCGCCAGCGCCGAGGAATGTGGCGAGGCCGGCTGGGTGGCTCGGACGCCTGGGTCCGCTCTGCTCCCAGTTCATGAGCGCTGAGTTCTGGGGCCAGATGCGGGAATTCCCGCCGCAGTGACCTGTGCGAGGAGAAGAAGGCATCCTCAGATTGGGGTCGGTGGCAGGGACCCCATGGAATAGGAGCTGGGGGCCATAACTCTTCCAGGACACCTCATCATTACCCTGGCACTCAGGACAGAACTGTCTGTCCTCCCTGGTGAGGCTCCTGGGGCATCCCTGAGGGAAGGATGAGAGAATTCATCTCCCCGGTTTTGTCGAATCTCCCTATGGGGAAATTGAGGCTCAACTGGTGTGGGAGACTATCATCCCCTGACGTCCCCTCTCTGATGCCCCTGTGCGCCAGCAGCCAGACTTTGGGCAACCAGACTCGCATGTGCTGTGGCCTGGGTCAGGCTCCCATCCCCCGCTCAGGGGTCCCCAGCAGGCCCTGTGGCTCAGTGCCCGGGTAGGGCGGGCTGCACCGCCGGGGCCGGCGCCAGCACCTGGCGGAGGCGGAGGGCGGATAAATATAGAGGGGGGGAGGGAGGAAAGCAGGGGACTGCGATTAGGGGACTTGGTCTAAGAGAGGGGTCAGCACCTGCCCCATGGCAGTGTGGCCGAGAGCCTCTCTCAGGCCCTCTAGAAAATAAATGGATCTGTGCCCCAGGAAGGCACAGAACCCAGGTGTCCCCAAGCTTCCAACTTGGACAGGGTCGGCTTTGTGAACCACTGCGTTTGCCTCCCTTATGCTCCACCTCCACCCCACCCTCCTCCCTGGAGCTTGGGGACAGGTGTCCCTGGCCCCCTCCCCCACCTCTCCCTCCTGGCTTTAGCTGCCTGGACGCAATGGGACCATGGCACAGTTCCCACCTGACCTGGCTCCTGGATGGGTTTTTGGCCTCTTTTAGACCCCAGTCTACAGTAGAAGTTCCAGGGCACAGGGGGTGGGTGGGGGGAGGGCAAAATCCCAGGCTGTATCTCCCATGGAGAGTATTCCTTAGCCTGGGCTGAGCCCCAGCTAGGGGGCAGGGTCTTTGCTTACCACTGAGTCTCAGGGGTAACTGGGAGGGTATAAGAAGCTCTTGGAGAAAGCCCTATACTTAAAGGGTCCCTCTTCCCTTCATTCACCTCTGTGCCCACCGCCTGCCTGCCAGCCTGCACGCCCGCCAGCCAGCGAAGGGAAAATGAGGAGGAGGGGTTGACTTCGAGCCTGCCAGAGCAAGAAAAGACTTCATCCACTTCTCACTTTCAAAGATTGGGAAGCTAAGGCCCAAAGACTGGAAAGGGCTTGCTAAGGTTCCACAGCGAGTTTGCGATCAGAGTTAGTAGCTGAGCTGGTGTTTGTTAGAATCCAGGTCTCCTGACTCTCTGCCCAGTGCTCTTTCCACTTTACCCCAGCTCTTGATTGCATCCTTAAAGAGTAACAGAGAGAAGGCAAGAGCCTTGGCTTCTTAGCTTGGTCTGTTCTGTAGAGACTGGTGGAAGGGGCCAGCCCAGTGGCTTCAGCTCGCTCAGTCACAGTCACACCCGATTCCTTGATTCCTCAATCCCGGGAGCAACGCTGTCCTGGGGCAGAAGCCACGGGCATCCCGCGCGAGCAGGGCTCGAGCCTGAGGGCTGCCCTGCCTGTTTCCCCAGGGACCCCTGGACGTGACGCTGACTCAGCCTGTGAGGAGCGGGCCAGTCTCAGACAGGTAAGCTCGGCCCCTGCATCCCATGGTCTGGAGACCCCAACCCTTCCCGGGACCCCCATCTTCGCTGTCTTCCCTCCAGCGGTTGTGCAATAAGGGAGAGGCCTTACACCGCCGGACGCTGTGGTTTGGCCGGGGTCCCGGGGGGGCGGTCCGGCTGGGGGCGCGGGGAGGAAGGGGGGGTCCAGGCTATTTCTGGTGCGAGGTCAGAACGGCCCAGCGGTTCCCACAGCCTGGGGGAGGGGTGCCCTTCCCGGGAGCAGGCACCCCTCGCTGTCTAGGGAGCCCTTAGTAAGGAGCCCCCTGGAGGCGGGGTGCAGGACCGGCAGCCTCGCCCAACCCTCCCTCCCCTCTTGCCCAGGCTGCAAAGCTGGGAGGAGACGAGGAGCCTCATTCCGGAGAAGGGGCCTCCAGAAGACGACCCAGACATCGTCGTGAAAGGTGGGGATCCACCTCATGCACTCTTGGAGGCTCCAATCCCAACCCTCCAGGGCATAATGTCGTCTCCTGATGATCCCCCCCCTTTTCCTGTCTTCAGGTTGGCTGTATCGCGAACCCCGCGGAGGAGGCGCGCGGCCCTGGTTGCCCCCGCGCCGAGCCTGGTTCGTGCTCACCCGGGACTCCTTGGACCAGTTCAGCAGCAGCGGGAAGGCGGCGCGGCGCCTCGGGAGTCTAGTGCTCACCAGCCTGTGCTCGGTGACCGGCCCGGAGCGCAGGCCCAAGGAGACCGGTGAGACCTCATGGAGATTCCCCTACGTCCTTGGGCAGCGGCCCCAGCCAGGCCTAATTGCCCTCCTCGGCCTCTTTCTCCCAGGTCTGTGGTCAGTGACCGTGTCTGGCCGGAAGCACAGCATCCGGCTCTGCTCGCCGCGCCAGGCCGAGGCGGAGCGCTGGGGAGTGGCGCTGCGCGAAGTGATTGCCTCCAAGGCACCGCTGGAGACCCCCACCCAGCTGCTACTCAGGGACATTCAGGTGCGAGGAGGGTCCTCCATGGAGAAAGAGGAGGGTGGTGGACCCATAAGCTTTCTAGGTTTCTGAGGAGCCTCTTTCACCATCACTGTGATCCTTTCCCTGATCTCTAGGAGAGTTGTGGGGACGCAGAAGCCGTAGCACTTATTTACCAACGGAATCCGATTCTGAGGCACACCAGTGGGGCCCTGTATGCCCCACTCCTCCCTCTGCCCTACGGAGTCAGCGCCCCAGGTGAGCGGTGCCATCACCCAAGTCCCTTGGATTGGGAATCTGAATGCCTCAACTGACAGGGATCAATGAGTCCTGAGTCCTCGGGGGCCTGCCCAGCCCTTCACTTTTTAAAAGATGAAGATGAAACCAGGAGCTGAGCAGACTGATACTCGAAGTAGAGAGGGAGAGAAGCCAGCACAGAAAATAAGGCCCCCTTTGACCACTTTCTCTATGGGTCTCATTCTGATTACTGATGTTCCTTTTTATACGATCTCTTCTATTCTTTTATTATACTCTCAAGACCATGGCATATTACCTTTACAAGTGCTGGAAAAGTCACCACCGCGGGAGAATGTACTGACCTCATCCTGTTATACTTCTCCCCAAAAGGGAATGACAGGTCCAGGTCCCAAGCTAGATTATTAAGGGGAGCTGAGAGGAGAATTCTGGTTTTCTGACTCCCCATCCAGCCTGTTTTCTGGCCTATGGTGATGGCTCTCAGTACCCAGTTATAGAATCTGAGGTTTGACCCTGTGTCCCTTAGTCTAACCCTCCAAGCTACTAACTCAAAGTGCAACCTTAGGGGATCTGCAAGGGGAGATTCCTGGGAGGCAGGGGTTGAGTTTGGCTCTGTGGGGACCATTGCTTTCCCTTCACTCTTCCTGTCCTTCATACTCTCCCCTCCTTGCCACACCCTGTCCCCTTATACTCCCTCTGACCTTCCCCTGATTCATGTCTTCCTCCCAGGGCCCAGCTCTGTGTCCCCTCTCCAAACCGTCCCTCCGCCCCCACCCTCCCACAGGTCCAGGCTACGCACCCTTGCGGGAGGAGGCGGTGCGGCTGTTCCTGGCGCTGCAAGCCCTGGAGGGGGCGCGGCGCCCCGGGCCCCTGATGCAGGGTGTGCTCCAGACCTGCCGGGACCTGCCCGCGCTCCGCGACGAACTCTTCCTGCAGCTGGCTAAGCAGACCTCGGGCCCTGCGGGTCCCCCGGGTCCCCCAGCTACCCAAGACCCCGCAGCCCTGCGGTACTGGCAGCTCCTCACTTGCATGAGCTGCACCTTCCGGCCTGGGGGAGCTGTACGGGGGCATCTCCTGGGGCATCTGGAGAGGTGAGGAGGAGGAGAGCGGTAAGGCCAAAGCAAGGGAGTCACAGGGCTAGAAAAGAATGACAGGCCTTTTCAAAGGGTTTGGAAGATGGAGAATTTAGACCCAGAGAAGGAAAGGGACTTGCCCAAGGTCAGGGCCGCTGCTAATATGCACAATGCCTTTGTGGGAATTATAAGATCATATCCCGCTTGGGGGGGATTATAAAAAGGCTCCCACTTTCGCCAGAGGAATTATTAAAAGGCTGTTTTTCCTCGGGGCTCATGCAGTCCAGCGCCAGGGCTTTTAGGTTGGAAAGCGGAATGTGGCTGGAGTTTGGATTTCAACCCAAAGGAGGATCATGGAAACTTTGGGAAGAGGGAGTGGGCAGTTAGGAGGAAGCTGCCAGGGGCCCTAGAAAGTAATTCAGCTCCATATAGAATATCAAGGATAGACTGAGAACTGGTCTCGATGCCCTCAAAGAACTTAGAGTTGGAGGGGAGGGAACCTATGAGATGAAATAAACTATAAAATAAAGCGAGGGGGAAGGGGAGAAGGAAAGCCCTCTGAGCACTGATCCTCGGATTCTCCCTAACCCAGGACTGAGAAGGCGCTCCCGGACTCAGAGCTGGCGGAATTTGCGCGCTTCATCCGGAAAGCGCTGGGACGGACACGCGGCCGAGAGCTGGTGCCATCGCTGGCTGAGATTTCCGCGCTGAGCCGAAGGCAGGAGCTGTTGTGCACCGTGCACTGTCCTGGGGCTGGTGCCTGCCCTGTGGCTATAGACTCCCACACCACGGCGGGAGAGGTAAGACCCTGAAAACTCAACCTTCCTCCCAGCTTCCCATGCCTGGCTCTGAGTCTGTGAAATCATTTGGGAAGGGCTGTGTGTGGCGGGACTAAGAGACCAGAAAAACCCCTCCAGTCGGATCAGCCCCTCCAGAAGTACAGGCAAGACGCCTGCACGGGTTGGGTCTGATTTTCCTCTTATGCTGTCTCCACTCCAGGTTGCTAGAGAGCTGGTGGGGCGGCTGGGCTTGACCCGGAGCCGCAATGCGTTCGCGTTGTACGAGCAGCGGGGGGCCCAGGAGCGAGCCCTGGCTGGGGGGACTCTCGTGGCCGACGTGCTCACCAGGTTTGAGAAGTAAATGTCCAGCCCCAGCCCTGCTCTCCGTTAGCCCATTTGCCTCTCAGTTTCGGTCAATCCCTGAGCAAACGTTTACCGAGTGCTTGCCACTTGTCCAGCGCAGTTATGTTTTGCTGGTTCACAGATGGATCCCTGCCCACTGGCGGTTTGCAGTCAGGATCCAGGGCTCACCTCAGCGGTCCACTCCGCTCGAGCCCCGCCCCAAACATCTGGCCCCGCCCCTTTCCCCGTGGCCGGTGCCTTCTGCGGCGGTGCTTATGTCCCGCATTGCTTCCTTCTCTATTCTGCAGACTGGCGGCGGAGGAAGTCGGACTGGAGGACCTGCCGGAATCCGGTTGGAGACTATGTCTGCGTCTTCACGGACCTCTGCACCCTGAGGGGCTGTCCCCAGATGGTCAAGAACTGCCCTTCCTCTTCGAGCAGGTGAGAATCTCTGGCATCCATGCCCCGCAAAAATCCCTGAGCCTGAATTCCTCCCTTTCTGGGCCGTCCCATTTGGTCGTTATGGCAGCCCCGGGGGAGGCTGTGCTCGAAACCAGACCTCAGGTTCCACACCCCGAGGTACCTGCCGCTCCCACGCTGAC